GGTGCGGGATCGGGCAGTGTTTCGTTCTGCTGTGCATGGGGTCGCTATGAGTCGGAAACGACTCGACGGCACTTAACAACAACAACAACAATATGATAGGTAGGAGCTCTGGTAGCATAGTGCCTAAGGCACTTGACTGCTAACCAGAAGGCTGGTGGTTCAAACCCACAAGCCACTCCGTGGAAGAATGGTTAGGCAATCTATTTCTGTAGTGATACTGCCTGGGCAACCCAAGGAGGGGTGGCTATGAGTCGGGGCCAAATCAACAGCACACAACAATATGATAGATACTGTGCAAACAAGAAACCTTACTAAATATCATGACATGAGCATTTTATCTAATTTTTGATAAAGTTTGCACTTTGAAAAGTTTATATATCTCCTTAGATTACACCAAAAAGAAATTAATTGGGTCAAATTCTTTCTAATCTGAGGAAGCTGAAGACATTTTCAGAGAGTGGCTTTAGAATCCCTTTTCCCCCTTCTGGAGTGGGATTTCATTGTGAATAATCAGGAATGGGGAAAAGGAAATGAGTGGAGTAAAAGAGAGATATTTATATTTTATAAGTATATATTTGATTCTTCTCTACAATTTCCAAGATGTATAGGTATCTACCTTTTCCTAAACACTTACTTGAAAGACCACATACTATCTTCTGGGCCACCATAATCCCTGCTTTTGCCTTGAGGAGATCTTGTTGGAGTTGTTAACTTTAATAAACGTTTGACTTTCTCTAAGATAAGGTGGGAGACAAATTTCTACACGTTTAATTCCAGGATTGTTTTGTGACTACAGTTTTGATCACCTGAAACTAGATTATCATATACATCATATAATTGGTTGCCATAAAGGGGAAAAAAAAAAATCTACCATTTATTGAACGCTTACAACATGAAAGCAATTCTAAAAATTACATACATTGTCTCATTTTAATCCTCAGAGAAATTCTCAGAAGAATAAGCACTATTTTTCCTACTTTATAGATGAGGAAACTGAGCCACAGAGAGGGTAACAAATGAACCCAAGTTCACACAGATAGCCAAGTAGTAAAACTGGGATTGAACCCAGACAAACTATACTAGAGCATGTATCATTAACTAAAATGACATACCGCTTCCCATGATTGGGTATGATGAAGAATTTTAAATGATGTCACTTCCCAAACAATTACTAATAGATATGGTATTATTCATGAAATTGATTCCTCCCATTACAAGCATTCCAAGAAATTAATAAAATAATGATAACATTTCTTTTACATTTACCCAAACAAGACAACCTCAGTAGCCTAAGGCTTAAATCTCCTTTTATGAAGTATTTTACAATATATTTCATCAACATTTTTATCTGGTTTTAAAATATGCCATATTTGTATTTATCTGATTTTAACTATGAAAGTTCTTGTCAAAGTTTCCATGTAGCCTTTTCTTCGGGGACCTTGCTGGATTTGCTGATGAACTGTTTTAAGTTGCTGTTTGCATGATAAGTGCTAATTTTTAACCTTCTGTAGATATACTGTACGTTTAATAAATGGTAATACTAATTTTAAAAGAATATTTAAAAGTTTTTTAATTTTTATTTAAAAAATGTATTCCATACATTTAAAGCAATTGAATTTTCACTCTGGCAAAAGCCAACTTTATCAGACTGTGAAAATTTTTAATTTCTGTCCATTCCTGGTGGACTCAATTTAGCTTTAGTTTGGAAGAAATTGTATAATCTTACCTTCTTGAATTCATGTGTCAAAATCTTTAAAAATATATAAATCTGTGTCTTAAGTAAACTCTATGTGAGCAAGAGTTAAAGCCCTGCGAGCTAAGTGCGATCTCTGAGACTAATCAACATTTTCAACTTCATTGATAAAAAGATTTCTGGATACAACAACGTGACTTTCAGCTTTTTTTATAATCAGTCTCTTCACAGGGTGAGATTTTATTTTAAATTTGCATGAGATGAAAAGCAATAATTCTTCATGTTGTTTTATAGGTAGGTAAGTGTCAAAATTTGATTTTTTCTATCTTTTTTAAATAGATGTTCGAAGAAGAACAATTTATGAGTACCATCGAGTAGAGCTACAAATGTCAAAAATTACCAACATTTCAGCTGTGGAGATGACTCCATTACCTAGTAAGTTAATATGTGAGCATACCAAACCAAAACTAAACCCCCTGCCACCAAGTCAATTCTGACTCATTGCAACCCTATTGGACAGAATAGAACCATTCTCAGGGTTTCCAAAGCTGTAAATCTTTATGGGAGCAGAATGCCACATCTTTCTATTGGAGAGTGGATGGTAGGTTAGAACCACTGACCTTTTGGTTAGCAACTGAGGGCTTTAACCCCTGTGCATTGGTGCTTCTTTATATAAACACAGCTAAGCGGAAAAGATAATTTGGAAGCTTGACTATCTGATCCATTTACCAATAATCGTAACACTGTGCTTGGCAAAGATGCATATTTTGATCCTGAGTATATATGAGGTTTTTTTGCCATATGCCATCAGATTACTTCCAATGAATTTTATGTTCCTCCTGTTTCCTAGCATGTCTCCAGTTTAATGAGTGTGGCCCCTGTGTATCCTCTCAGATTGGCTTCAACTGCAGTTGGTGTAGTAAACTTCAAAGGTAAAAAATATTTTAATAATAAAAAAAAATTTTAATGAATTATATAAGATCTGTTGCATCTCTCTTACCATTGAATGTTAAGTGTATGTCAGATGTACAGATTGTGTACACATTACTATGTTTATATGTGTAAAGATATATATATATATATATATATACCATAACCAAAATGGGGGAGGATGCTTGAAAGTAGGAATTTTAGTATTTCCCTTTGCCTGATTTCTCAATTACCAAGAATCTCCATAGTCAATAAGATGATAATCTGGCATACTTTATAATCACTGTGTGGCTTATGGTGCATGATGACTGTAGCTGATGAATCTATAGAAATGATACTTTTGGTCTAAAATTTGCAGAAAACATTGTTGTCTTCACTAGGGTAAGCAAGGTTTATGTAAAAACACGTGCATGTTCTTAGCAGATTACTATAAAATATGTAAAAGATTACTACCTAAAATTCAAAATACAGCCTGAGGCTTAGAAATACAGTAACACTAATTGGTCTTTACATAAACACAGCAGGTGATATTGGCCCCGTGTTATAACTAACTCACTTTGGAACATAAGCTGCGTAACTTGTTGATGTTGAAGAAGTTCACTGTTTTTCATGACTGGCAAAGAAGATTTTTATATCCCAAATTTACTCCAGAGACTGTATGATCATTTGTTGGAAATAGTATAAGAAGAAAACTGTCTTACTTGGTTAGTGCTGCTATTATAGAAATACCAAATTGAATGACTTTAACAAACTGAAATGTATTCTCTCACAGTTTAGGAGGCTACAAGTTCAAATTCAGGGCACCAGCTCTAGGAGAAGGCTTTCTCTTTCTGTCAGCTCTAGCAGGGAGGCCCTTGTCTCCTTCTTACATCTGTGGGCCCGACCTGCCTTGGAAATCTTCATGTATCTTATCATCAGTCTCCTCATGGGCCTATGTGGTAGTTCTGTTTGTGTGTCAACTTGGCTGGGCCTGGTTGAGTTGTTGGGCAGCTTGTGGTAGTTAATCCCCATGAGGAGGCTGGCAATCAACTCCTTGGTGGGATCTACCACAAGCAGCTGAGTAGCGGCCTTTGGGAATGTGATCTGCTTCCCGTATATAAGGAGAAGCTTTGAGAATGGTCTCTAGCCTTTGGCACGCTTGGACTCTGCATGTAGCCGTGTCGTTGCTCAGCAGCCTGCTATGCTCTGCCGACCTTGGGCCATACAACGGACTTAAGTTAATGGCCTGCCGTGTGGTTTGGTAACATTGGGACTATGCCTTTTTCCTTGTCAACCTTGGGGCTTCTCAGCCTTAGCAGCCTACAGCTGTCTGAGTGAATAAATGCCTCTAGCTCCTGTGGGCCGGGAGCAGGAGGCAGAGCTGGACCCCAAGGTTGAGGGGCTATCACCCAGCCCCTAGAGCCTGGCACCTTGAACTTGGACTTAAAGCCTTCAAAGTGTAAGAATAAACTGCTGTTTGTTTAAGCCATCCCATTTGTAGTATATTTTTGTCAGAGCGGCACTAGGTAACCAGAACAGCCTAGGAGGTTCTCAGCTTAGGGATCTTGGGTCCAAAGGACATGCTCTGCTACCAGCTTTTCTTTCTCAGTGATACTAGGTCCTTCCTTCTCTGCCCACTTCTCTCTCCTTTTATTTCTTTCAAGATAAAATATGATGTGAGGTCCAACCCAGGGAAACTCCCCTTATATCAATCAGCTCAGGGATGTGATCAGAATAAGAGTGTTGCATCCTACCCTAATTCTCTTACAACTGGGTGGTTAATCATATCAGATCATATCCTGGGGGATGATTACATCATTATATATCTGCCAAATTACATATATTTTTGAGGGACACAATTCGATCTATGACAGGAATTATAATGTTCCATTATTTAACCATGCTGTTCATCTATTATGTCCCAGGCACTGAATAATATAGATGTGGTCCCTGTCCCAGGGAACTTTAGTTGTTTTGTATTTAAGCCTCCTTCTCATCTTTAAAAAAAAATACACATCTTCTCCCAGGTGGTGAACTGAGTTCATGTTATTAGTCAATTAATGTTGCATCTGAGCTTTCTGTTGTATAAACTGTCTTATCTTCTTGCTGCAGCATTTGCTGTGATGATAAAAGTGTGTTCAGGAATAGTTTAAAAAATATCGAAGGAAAAAGTGGAGAATTACAATAAAAGTGCCTTGATAACAAGCTTTAGGAAACATGCTTAACCAGCTAACTTTGGGATAAGCTCTGAATTATTGTGAATAGAGCAATATTACTTACAGTAACCTCTTGTTTTCTTTTCAATTTAATGTGGTATTTTAGTAATATCCTTTGTGAAATGAATTTCGAATCATCTAAAAGCAAACAGACAGTTACCATCTTTTAAAGTAGATTTTAACTTAGCTGTAGATCCAGAGAGAACAAACTGCTATAAAATCAAGGATTTATGGTTATTTACATTCATATTTTGCTGAGATTTCATAAAGATTACATGCATATCAGAATTTTTTTTCAGAATCTATTTAGATAACAACCAAAGTGAATCTAAAGAGATGGCATTTTAATTTCTGTGTTTAAGTCTTACTGAACTCAGACATGAAAAATGCCCTAATGACTTAAATAGAAGGCTCTGGATTGGGATCTGTATCTGCTTCAAGAGTTAGTTCAGTGTTAACCTCCTCATAGAGGTCTCCCTAAATCACTAGTCTGTGTGAGGTGGCACCCCTGTGCTTCCATCACATCTTGGGCAAATCTCCATCATCAGCATTTAGCATAGAGCTTGAGATGCTGGTGTTCAGTTGTCTGCCTCCTTTGCTAGGCTCTGGGTTTGTTGAAGTCAAGGACTGTACCCTGTTTGTCCTTATACCTCCAAAGCCTAACAAGGTGCCTGGTACTTCAGAAGAATTGATGAATGAATGACTCATGATCAGGTTCCAAATGAAGCAGTGATGCTTAGGTGTGTGAATGATAGGTTTTCCAGGATGTGGGATTTTTACTTCTAAACCAAGAAAACCCCAGAAAAACCTGGACAAGTTGATCATCTTAGCCAGAGTACTATTAGGTTAATACTCTCATGAAATAGTGTTGTGGTAAATAAAAGTTTTGCCATCTAGTCTAGACTTCCACCTTCCTCTAATTATTTCATTTATGTTTTCATAAATGCTTTTTTTGGAAATATGTTTTAAGTTCCAAACACCAAACTTTGATGATCAAAACATATTCACAAGTTGGATATACAAGTTGTTAACACTTCCATTTTATTGAGAGCATTAGTTGTCAGACATTGTGCTAAGTATTTTTTATATAGTGTTTCTAACAAATGTAACATTTTTTTTTAATAGCGGAGGAAAGTGAGTGTTATTGAAACTAAGTTATTCGTGCTGGGTCTCACATACCTTAAGTAGTGAATCTGGAATTGAACCTTGATCTGTGTGACTCCCAGGACTGTGGTCTTGATACTCCACCTGCCTGCTTCACACCTCTGCAGCTACCAAAGCACTAAGCAAGCTAATCTGCATTGCATCCTGCAAAAAAAGTAGACTTACTACTGAAAAATAAAACTTTTTATACTTGATGTTGTAAGAAAATTATCTGATTTTAAAATTGGCACAAGAATATAGAAGATCAAGCAAAAATAAGACTTTTGTATATTATTGAAAGCATAGTTTTTTAATGATTAATAGAGAAAGGAAGGGTGGCAATGAATTGAATGAAGAAGGAATTCATCAAAGAACACTATTAAAATAACTATGGATTTTTTGCATGTTGTTACTACATGGGATTTTGTTTCATACCCAACACTGTTTTAAAATCTTGTATTTATTTTTAATTCTTTAGCAACCCGTTATAAACATATCAAAACCTGTTTAATTAATTGCTTTAACTATGGCTCATTGCACTTTTATTCAACTTAATTTCCCCACTGCATTTTATTAATTTCTCCTTAGACCTATGAGCTTCACAACTTTTGAAAAAAATGCTTTTGCTCCCCAGAAGCATTTCCCAAGACTTTCAAGATTTTATTAACAAATTCAATAAAACAAAAGAAGTCTTTTCCTAAGTGGCACAAAAATTACCTCTCAGAATTTTTTCTTCCATCGCTTTGACTTTCTCCTTTGTACTATTTATCCCTGAATGATAATCAGTTTGTGGTGATTACTGAACTCTCAAGTTGAGCTTGCTCTAAAAAGATAAGATAATTTTAATTGGTTTATTTCATTTGATTCCCATTTTTCATGGAGCAAAAACTAAGCCAGAATGTTTGTAATGGCTTACCAAAGGTTCAAGGGAATTTGAGTTATAGGGAGACATAATGGGATCCATGATCAAAAGTGTATACTCAGAATGCTTGGACATATCTTCTATGTAAGAATTCTTTTGTTTGTTCGCTGTAATTAGGAAGACCTGAATCAGTTATTTTCAACTATATCTTATATTTTCATTCATTCAAACATTTATTTGAGTTGTCTCTATATTCAAGCAACTCTACTAGGTGTGGATTCAGTGGTGAACAAAACAGACAAAAATTACCTCCCTCATTGAGCTTTATTTTTCATATAGCTGGGTATGGAAGAAGAGTAGTATCAGATGAGATCAGAAACAGAGAAAAGTGTCAGGTCATGGGTGACTTTGTAAGACATGATGGGTTTTATTCTAAGGGTGATGGAAACATTTATATTATAGCAAAAATTAAGCAGAGGAATAATCTAAATTCATTATATTTTTAAAATGCAACTCTGGCTGCTCTGAGAGAATAGAAAGAATGGGGAGGACAGATAAGAATGGAAAGAAAGAAAATCCATAAGGAACATGTACAGTAATCTAGAGGAGATGATAGCAGCTTGGACAAGGTTGATAGTTACAGAGATGGGTAGAGATAAATGAATATAAGATTTTGAAAGGAGAGAGACACTATTGATGAATTAGATGTGGAAGAAGAGAGTAAGATTGTATTTATTGGTATATTATTTCTAACAATAAAACTAATCATTTTTGTCACCTTTAGAACATATGTTTATAAAGT